TAATGTGGAAATAATGCTATCGGACTTCCATCCCAAAGTTTCCTTGATGATTTATAAACCCAATATCAATTTTACACTAAACAATAAAAACAGATAGAAAAATTTATTTATAATAATGTACACAAAAACCAGGAAATTTTAAAAATTATACTATTTACACATTCATACTACTCATATGACTTGAACCCTAATTTTGAAATACATGAAAGTTTCTCTGAAGCTTTGATTTGCATTAAGAAGTACACAAGGATTGGGGCGCCTGGGTGGCTCAGTGGGTTAAAGCCTCTGCCTTTGGCTCAGGTCATGAGCCCAGGGTCCTGGGATCAAGCCCCGCATCGGGCTCTCTGCTCGGCAGATAGCCTGCTTCCCTCTTTCTCTGCCTGCCTCTCTGTCTACTTGTGATCTCTGTCTGTCAAGTAAATAAATAAATAAATAAAAAAGAAGTACACAAGGATCATGTTGACGTAACGATTCTGATACATCTGGAAGGGGCCTGAGATTCTGCATTTCTAATAAGCTTCAATGTGGTGCTGATGTTTCTGGTCCATGGACCACACACTGGGACAAAAGGATTTAAACTATCTGCAGAAAAGTACCCTGGATTTCTTCGACGTTGTTGGCTTTGCTAGGTTGGGAGGATAGTTTCTAGTCTTTGATTTTCCCTCTAACTTGTACATGGAGCATAACAGGTCTTTTTGAAATTGAAACACTCAACTCCTACCCTTCCTGACCAGGCACTTTGGCACAAGCGGGGGCAAGAGAGAGTGTGTGCACCTGCTTTGAGTGTGCGTGCACCAGTTTTGCATCTGTTTGCAACTGTTGTAACGTCATACTTGCATTAAGGGAAGGGTGTCAGCAACTCTCCTGTGACTATCCTAATGTGAACTTGGATTCATCTAAGCACACAAAGTTTAGAGAACTGTCAGGTTCAAATACGCCCTATCTCTGAGGGTAAGCCCCAGTTTATTTCACACATTTCAACATTTTCCATGTGGATGCTGTTAAGGTTGCCTGGAATGTGGAGATAAGCCCAGGATTAGTCCTGCTTTAAAGTCATCATGAAGCCTTGTTATAGGCCTCAAGTTAAGTTGTTAAATGTATTTCTGAGAGCTTACTGGAAAAAAAATAATCACATTCACTAAATTTGGTAAGCTTCAGGTAGCGAAAACATAGTGTCGTTGTTGAAAACTTACCTGCAGGCTTGTACCTTCATGTTTCTGTAGACAGAGGGCTTCTGATGGGAGGCTAAAACAACATTCTGTTTACCAAGCTTGCTTTAGGAAGATTATCTAAACTGAGGAACTGCTGGAGAGGGCATGCACCTGTGGGGTTTTTGTTTTTTGCTTTGTGTTGTTTCATTTTGCTTTTTCTTTATAACTGGGTCAACCCTACTCAAGCAGATTTTTAAAAATCACTTTGTAATATTCACAATTATTCTATAATTATGAAATACTTTAGCATTTTTTTCTCTATTGCTATGAAAACAACGACTACACAATTTGGGAACTCTGAATTCCAAGTGATATTAAACTGATAATATTAAAACAGCTAACATGTTGGCTCTTTTTTTTTTCTTTTTTATTTCTTTGCATATGTAGCAATTCTATTGACCTAGAGGACATAAAATATAAGGCAATAATATTTAATTTAGTCTTGTCAAAATTTTATTGCCTTTGGCAAAAGGACATTGCAGAATATCCAGAAAAGCTCTAATGCAAAGGTGTTTAGCTGAATACTGACCACACCTAAAATTGGAATATATTTCTGGAAATAAAGTGTAACATTTCAGAAATAATTTCCTAAAGGAAACAAACAAAACAAAACAAGACAAAACTATCTTTCTATACTTTAAATTTTGTCTGACCTGCTTAGTTTGATTTTTAGAGAATTGGTGAAAAAGACCCTACATGTTGCAGGCTTACAATTTCTGGGTTGTCCAAAAAATGTATAAATATGCTTTAAAGTATAATAATTTTAACAGCATGTGCAGAGATAACATCAGAATAAAAAGGAGTAACAAAACTTCTCTTAGAGTCTCTGTAAATAAGAGATGTTCTAAGATATCTTCCTTCTCTTATAATGGAGAAAAGAAATTTGAAAAGAATTTTGATAAAAACTCATGTAAGTCCCCTCATGTGATATAAGGAGGTAATGCGTTCTTTTTCTTCTCCTTTTGATGAACCTCTAGAATGTAATTTTTCTTCCACATCTGTAGTAGTTTGCTTGCTTATTGGTAAAATTTGATTTTTTAAATGTCAAAGAGGTCCTAATTTTTCTAATGTGTTATGAATCACCACAATTGGTCTTCACATGCCCTCTGACTTCTATTGGTTCTGGAGAGGATAGATGATAGGTAGATGATAAGAGAGAGAGAGAGATATAAGATAGAAATTCTTGTGGAATATATTTGATTAAATTGAGAGGATCCCCACAAAGAAATATGGAGACCATTTATATTATAGTAGTAGGGGAATATTTGATGAGTAGAAATCAATAGTTGAGAGCAAATACTCTCCTTTGCAGTGCACCATTCACTCAGCAATCCAAGGCAGCTTTCCATCCTGACCTCTCTTTGAGGAGTTACTTAGATAACTAAGGACTTATCTCCATTTTGATTAAAAAAAAAAAAAAGATTGAGACACAGAATTCATTAACCTGATGTCATACAGTTAGTAGTTGGTGTTGGCATTCTAACTTGTATTCATCATGTTAATGTTCTGTATTTCCCATAATTCAGAAAGCAGGACTGATGCTTCTTAGGTCCACAAAACCCCTCATATTCCATCAGATGAAATTTTAAAAATCTGAAACAAAAATCTGGAAGAACAATCTTTCTTATTCCTTGCAACTTTAGAATTATGACATATTCTAAAAGATTATAAAAGTATTTTTATCACTTATTTCTTCCAAAGTTTATTTTTACACATATCAATAGGTTAACATAATGAAAAGCAATATTCAAAAACTTTTAACCTTTTGAAAGTTTAATGTTTATAAAATATATTTATAATTTTATGTTTAATGTTCATAAAATAATATATTCAACTTGATAGTTCATAGGAATAGAATCTCTAAATTAAAGACTTACCAAAACTTTAAAAATCATTGTTATCCTTAACAATGTCTAATAGAAAAGTCAAAATCACCATTACTATCCCAAATAATCCTTTTTCTGTTGTCCTACTTCTCTTACACTAATCACATTGACGGTCTTCTGTCATTTACTTCCCGGGTAACATTATATGCAGAAAGATAGTCCATCAAAGTAGCTACTGTGCAAAAGATGACAGTGATTTGAAGTCAAGACAAATGTGGATGGCACTACTTTCTCCCTCTTTAAAGATGTTCAAGTGAAAAATGTCTCTGAGAAATATTCAGCAAAAAATGCTCTATAAAACATAATTTTCTGCTACCAAGTGCTTCCTACTATATTATCTCCTGGTCAAAATTCTGCTGTAATGAACAGTTTACCAAGACCAAGTTAATTATGCAAAAAATGCTCCACAGATACACTATCTTATATCCCTTAGTACCAGTCAACCACAAAAGACCTTTTTTTTCGGTGATATTCAGGCCCAGATCTTTATTCCCCCTTCTCATTCTTTTATTTAAAAGCCAAGTTTAAAGTTTTAGCTTTAATGCATTAAAATGCTTATTTTTAGCCTGAGGTATAATGACTACTTTGAAATATTAGCCTTGATTAGAATAAAAAAGACATCAATGTGCTATTTAAATAAATTTTTAACTAATAAATTTCAGTTTTAGATACCGTTTGCACTACTGAGTAGTACTGAGTGCATATCTACCTAAGCAACGTAAAGCAAAAACTGCTTTGAAATCAACCTAAATTATCAAGCTGGTAGTTTATTATTTTAATGGAATGATGTTAGACAACCTCATTTTGTCATATAAACTTCAAGACATATTAATATTAGGTAAACCATGAATAATTATTTGAAGTATATCATTAAAGACTGGAACTCTGTTAAAGAAACCTTAAGATTAACACACTCAACAGTTTTTCTTTGACACTATCTTTGGAGACTATGAAGAAGCTGATATTTTTGTTGTGTCTGAAATTTCCAAAGCTTCAATTAACCCATTTGATTTCAAGATGCATAAAGATAATATGCAATTAAACTCTTTAACTGCCATTATTTTTTACAGATAACAATACAGGTTAGGAGAGCTCCTTCATGGAATGAAATATAACGTAGAACACTGTATTCCCACATAGATGAACATCATTAGGAAAGGTTTCCTCCTGTCCATTCACATCTGCCCAAAAAGAGAAACTACCTTTCCCGCAGAATTAACAATTCTCACATTCAGGCCGGAGATGGTGAGTGAAGTCCTAATCTCAGGAAACTTTCTATAAATTTATTCCCCTGTCTTTTATAAACCATACCATGTTTCTCAGAATGGTAGAAATATTAAAACTTATGTCAAATTATCAAATTTTCTGATACATATTGCACTTCTTAGTTATTGTTCAAATATGATAAAATAGCCAGAATTGCTAAGTAAAAATATTTGTATTACTTACCATTTCTAGTATTTATGAAGTAACACACACATAGCCTAGAAAATATGTCATACTGGTAAATAATAAAGCAGATGCCTTTCAGAAACAGGAACAGATTTTGTAAATCCATTGGAATATTTCCCCATTCATATGTACTTACAATAACATATTTTGCAGTGTTTGTCCTGAAGCTGAAAATAGAATTTGAGGCATTTTGCCAACACCTGTCTAATTTACAACATAAATGTAATGCAAATTTCTTATAGTTTCCTAAACACCACCAATACCTTCTCATTCAGTTTCTTTTGAATTTGGCGAACATTTTATGAAATCACAGCATAGTAAAAACTTCATAATTACCTTTCAGATAGAATCAGAAAGAAACATCACAATAATCTTCTGACTTTTTTTTAAGCCTCTAATGATTATGTAGGTAATAACAGTATCAGATAAAATATTATTCACTGTATCTTACCTCTATCACTGAAGTCATCTACCAGAATGATTTCTGCTATCAGAGTCTCTGGGGTTCGGTTAATTATACTGTGGATGGTACGCAGGAGTGAAGTCCAACCTTCATTATGAAATGGGATAATGATGCTGGTATTTGGCAGCCTTTCCAGGTACATCTTGTGCTTACAACTAGAGATGATAGAAGAAGAAAAAAGCAATGTCAAATACAAAACTATAGCATATCTTATACTGCTATTTACTCACTGTTATCAAACATCTGTGAAAAGTAGACTTTGTCTACTACTTTACCAACCAGTGCTTATACACCATAATAATCACTCAGTTCATTCATGGAATTCATTAATGATCCCTTTTACATGTGCTCTTAATAAAATAATTATCCTTGGGGCGCCTGGGTGGCTCAGTGGGTTAAGCCGCTGCCTTCGGCTCAGGTCATGATCCCAGGGTCCTGGGATCGAGCCCTGCATCGGGCTCTCTGTACAGCAGGGAGCCTGCTTCCCTTCCTCTCTCTCTGCCTGCCTCTCTGCCTACTTGTGATCTCTCTGTCAAATAAATAAATAAAATCTTTAAAAAAAAAAATAAAAATAAAATAAAATAATTATCCTTTTTTGTATGAAGGACTCGGATACTAGGTAAGAAGAGCACTGAAACATGTTCTTGTTGATGTAAACTTTTCTTAACGTTATCTAATAGTGAGAAGAACAAATTTTATGAGTTAAAATTGTTCCCACTTAGCACATGGTTGAGGTTTAAATGGGTTTCCTGGGAAGTTCTGGAAATCCAACTGTAAAATTATGCTTAGTTAATCTGTTTGGGTTGCAGTGTGTTTCAATGGCTGGACAATATTTGAGCTCTATGGGGAAAAACACAGTTTTACAATGAAATAAATGAAAAGTTAATCTTAAATAAGCATATACTGATACAACCACATAATAAAGTTACACTAAGATCCAAACACAGACATTATCACATTTCTAGTGGAAATTATAACTAGGAATTCCATGTTGCTTTATTCATCATGAAAAAAAAAATCTAAGACACCAAAAAGAACATAGGCTTTAACCTTTGGCACAGTTAAAAACAATTTACTATGTGTAATTGTTATTTTTGCATATTTATGCTTTATTTAATTAGTTCTCAAGCCACAGAAGGGCAGGAACCTGGTCTCAGATCTCATTTACTTCCTAGTCAGCAAGTTAACCAAGCTTTATTGAGGACGATGAATGCACTTAAGTTTGTGAAATCTCTGAGTTACTTAAAACTAAAATGAGTAAAATTTCAATTATCAAATTCAATGATTTTCTTGCTATAGATAACTTGAAAACAAAAGACAGAATAGCAATCTAGAATTAGTTTCATAAATGCAAAAACATCTAATGCTTTAGCTTTTGTCAAGATACTGGCTACTATATAGTCTAGATGAGGAAACAAACCATACCATGATGCGAAGTGTGCACAGAGTCTACCAATATGTAGAGAAATGCACCAGAATATTTAAAACATTACTTAAAATATTTTTCTCAGTCATTTCAATACTTCATTTTACTATGATCTCAATAGGATATATTAAATATTACTGTGGATCTACAACAAAAGTTGCCTTACAATTTGGGAAAACATGGGGCGCCTGGGTGGCTCAGTGGGTTAAAGCCTCTGCCTTTGGCTCAGGTCTTGATCCCAGGGTCCTGGGATCGAGTCCCGCATCAGGATCTCTGCTCAGCAGGGAGTCTGCTTCTCCCTCTCTCTCTGCCTGACTCTCTGCCTACTTGTGATCTCTGTCTGTCAAATAAATAAGTAAAATCTTAAAAAAAAAAAAAAAGAAAACAACTTGGGAAAACATGACAATGCAATTAAAGCCAATAAAATTATCTTAGAAAACAAAATTAAATATTTTAGATAAATAATTTGAATCTATATATAAATCTACAAATATAAATATTTCCTTTTTTATTTTGTCCATTTATTTTGATTATTTAATCTCAGAATTTATTATTTGTTAACAATACCTATAAAACAAATAGATATTGATGTTTTAAAATATGATGAAAAGAATTGGAAATAACATCTAAGTCATACCATGAAATGGGCATTAAATGCTAGAAAAAATTCTTAAATTCACTTTAAGATAACACAGAATGGTTAAAAAATATAATAGCATATGAAACAGATCTGTGAGTGATTTCTAAGGAAATACTGTGAGATGGATGTTTTCACTTCTAATGCACAAGTCTGGAAAAGAGTGCCCAAGTAATTAAATACACCTCATTATAATCATGCAGAGCCATCCATTCTTCTCAACAAAGCCAAAGGCCCAGATAATTGTGTTTTACTACATCACTATTCAGGATAATTGTACCTATTTGTGCAAATCATCATACCTAACAGCGCAACTGGGAATGCAACTGATATTCCCAAAAAGCCAAATTATTTTTCAAACATTAAGATGAGACATTGCACATATCACTTGCTTTTTAATTAAATAAGCATTGTATTCACAGTGATACCCTAGAAGCAATCAATAGTGATGTTTAACAGCTCTGTACTAATCTATTCAGAAAATAGGCAGACACAAAAAAATGCAAGACTGATCCTATGTAAATAAAGCTTTCCTTCATAAAAGTGTATTCATTAATTTCTATCTCTGTGAGCTCAAACTTTTACCACACATAAGATGTAAAAAGATCTCTTCTACTCATTCATTCACTTACGTTACAATGATCTACTGAGGTTTGATATAAGCCAGAACCAAAATGGAGAAGAAACAGCAAAACCTAATCCCTGACTTCAAGACGTTTACAATACAATAGGGGATACAGAATAGAGAGTTACAATTTTAAACTTAAATTTGGAAAGTGCTGCAGAAATTCAAGGGGGAGCTGAAGGTGGTTCTCAACATATATTTAGGAATACAGCTGATATGACTTGGTAACTGTCTGGAAGAAGTAGTTTTAGGAGGATTCCCATGTTTTGGACAGGGGCAGTTGATCTTATGAAATACAGACTTACATAAAGGGCACATCTCAAGGGTAAAAGGCTTGAGGGTGAAGATGCGTTGAATTCTGACCACGTTGAGGTTGAAGTGTCAAATATCCTGTTGAAATGGCAATTCCATATATGGTATACACATCTATTTGTCTATGTATGTATGCATTTCTGTATCTATGTACATGTATATGTTTTTGGCTCAAGAAAAGTTCTGCTTTACTGGAGGGACATACGTGTGAGTGACAGGTGATAGCAGATGGGGCCAGTGGGCCACCAAGAGTTCCTTAGCGTTCACCAGCCTAGTACATGCCAAGAAGATCCTTTATAAATACCTGCAGATCGTCAACCAAGTGCTTTCTCTCATCTCTGAACAAAAGCAAATGAGAAGTTTTGGGGGAAATTAAGGCCCGGGAGCACGTTTCAACCAACGAAGGAGGGAAGTTGGAGAATAAACAGTCCTCTGGTGAGGTAACTCTAAGGTGTTTTCTATATTATGTACCTGAGTTTCCCAGCAAGACGGGGGGCCTCAGTTGCCCACAGAGACAAGGTTTTTACAGTTTATCTTTTATTAGCTTTTTTCCTTTCCTGTCTTACTTCCTCATCCAGCCTCCCCAGGTACTTTCTGTGATTCCTCCTCAAAATTACTACAGTCAAATTTTTGTCTCAAGGTCTGTTTCTATTGGAATCTGTTCTGAGACATAGGCATATAAGTTATGCTGTACTTGTCAAAAACAGTCTCTTCAATATAAAATGATAGAATTACTTAAGAAGTATTATTTTATTGCATTATGAAGCTTTCAGTTTGTTACACCTGGAGATATTTTAAAATAAGATTTTTTTAATATTTTCACACAAGCCATTTTTCATACAATCCATATTTTCATATAAGCCATATAAGCTATTAATTTGTAAGAGAGGTTTTATTTCTTTCAACTTCTTAATTTCTGATGCTCTGCTCCGAGCCTTCTCTGTGCCTATGAAATACAGCTATCAAGACTTGACACGGTGTACCTATAAAAATAGCCTTATCCTAATCAGCAGACTGTTAGTAGTAAAGTTCCCTTCTTCACATGAATGTGTATAATTTTTTTTCGATCAGACCAACATGGAAAACTATCTTGTGCTGATAATCATTTCTCAAGTATTGAAAAATCATACTTTATACATCAGACTATCTAGGTTCACATGAGGGCTTTGCCACTTACACCTGCGTGACAATGGGCAGGTGATTCAACTTCTATAAAACAAATTCTCTCATGTGGGGCAACGCAGGGGCAAAAATATATAAATAAATTAGATTAAATTAAATAATTAAATTAAAAATAAACAACCTTCATAATGTGTCCATGAGAATTAAGTTACATAATCCATACAAGGAACTTAGTACAGCAGCATATCTGATCACAGCAAGGGTTTGATAAATACTGCCATTATTGTTATTGCTCTTATTGCTTTTTAATTATTATTATTTTACCTGTCAAGTCCTTTATGGAAGGAGGGAGGAAATTAGGGGAGACAGGGACTGCACGAGGGAAAGTGAGAGACACTTAGGATATGAAGATGAATACATTATAGTTTCTTCCCTTAAGGTTTCACAGACTAGTAGGCAGATATATAAAATGATTTGACTTAAATGAGACAAGTGACATAAAAGATGGCACGCAACAATCAGAGCCCAAAGGAAGTATCACTAACTTTGTCTGAAAGAATTAGGGAAATTTTTATAGATGAGTCTGTCTGTTAAGAATAGATCAGGGAGCATCTTTAAAGTGATGCTAAGGAATTTGGATGTTCGTCTGAAGTCAACGTGAAATATTTCACATGTTGTTAGTGATGAGGAAAACAGGATCATGTTTCCATATTCCTCTGGTACCAGGGCAGACAATGGAGACAGCAGACATGAGACAGAAAGATTGGATATTGTAATAGTTTCGGCAAAAGATAATAAGGATGCTGATCTGATTTTTTACTGGAAGGAAAACCAGCCACTTTGTGACAGGGTTTAATCTGATTGAATTATATTTAGTCATTCTAGTACTTAACACGCTCCAGAGAAAAGTGAATTCACTCCCAACCTCAGCCACTGGATTCTAGGAGTTGGGCTCCAGATGACTCCTTCTTAGTATTACTAGAAATATTGAAGCCTATCCAGGGCTTTATTAAGGATCTGCAACCTGGGTATT